TATAATATGAATAATATTTTAAGACAGGAAACTAAAAAGAATGTATTAGAGTTGATATAGATCATCTAGATTGCAATATATGCTCCAAGTTCTAAAGTATTCCAAAATGAAAGAAATAATTATTGGTCCATATTATAATAGACAACATTATAGAACAGTCTGTGCTACAAGCTCTCAGACAGCAATTTCTTCAAATTGACTAAAGTAACTGTGATTAAATTTAGATCCATTTACTATAATTATTAATAAAACAATTAATATGGAAGTGTTATAGTAGTGACAATATCACATTCACGCTAGAAAGATTAGATTTACTCTTGTTAGTCATTCTACTACCTGAAACAAACAAACAAAAGTTTTTGACCTTCTGGTAACTTCTAAGGAGTCCTGGTGTGGCACTGTGGGTTAATGTGCTGGACTGCAAGGTCGATTTGAACCACAAAGTCAGCAGTTCAAGCTCACCAGCAGCTCTTTGGAAACCTGTACAGGGTCACTATGAGTTGGAATCGACACCATGGCACTTAACAACAGCAACAACAAATAACGTCTATGGATAAAACTAGGAAAAACTAAAAACACGTCAGTCATCCTTGTTGCTGTTGTTGCTAAGGATCTTCAAGTTGGTTCTGACTCACAGCAACCCTTTTCAGGATTTTCAAGAAGAGCAGAAAGGCTCATCTGTTTTCTGCAGAGTGGCTAGTGGGCTAGGACTGCCAACTGTGTGGGTAGCAGTCCAGTGCTTATCCTCCAGAATGACCATGTGCCCTTAGGAAGATTTTCCTTCATAAGATATAAAGAGTTGGTGACATGAGGATCAAACATGAGGATCAACATAAAGTCTTCCACACTCTGACTGTAGAATTTATTTTAGTCAACTTCTAGAAAAGACAAGTACATAATTTTTCAAGGTCATCTCCTTGCTTTTCAAAACACTTTGTTCAGCTTGTTTCAATACATCTGTCAATAAGACTTCATATTCTCTTATTTTAAAATGTTTTCGGCTGAACTGTGAGTCACAAATGTACCGCTGTTTTCACTTCTTTATCAGAGGTGAATTTTATTCCTTGAAGGGCTGCTTTCAGGGTCTAAACAGGTGAAAGTCCAAAGTAGGTAGATCAGGATTATAGGGAGGATGCTTTAACACCTCACAAGGAAGGTTTTGCAGAGTGTCAACAGTTGGGGCAGAGGTGTGTAGATGTGCATTGTCATGTAGATCACAAGACCCTAGGGTAGTGGGTTAATATGCTGGATTGCAAAGTCAGTTTGAACCACAAGTTCAGTGGTTCATGCTCACCAGCTGCTCCTCTGAAACCCTATATAGGGTCACTATGGATTAGAACTGACTTTACAGCATTTACTCTGAAGTTTATGCTTCAGGTCTTTAATAAGCATCTCACTGTAATGAGCACTGTCAATTGTTGAACTTTTTCCAGACAATGTTGTAATACTCACCTGAGTATTGAGAATTCCAGAAAACTAAGCATCAATTTTCCAATTGATGGTAGGCTTTGGAACATTGTTTTGGCCAGTGATCAATGATGTTTCCATTCCATACTCTGCCATTTACTCTCAGGCTCACAATGATGAATACATGCCTCATCAACAGTAACGATTTTTTTTAAAAAAAACTATTACCTTCTTTTGAGTATTGGTCCAATTTTTTTTTTCAGATGTCCACATTCACTCTTACACAGTAGTGGCTTGAATGAAAAGCGCTGATAAGACAGTGCAGCCACTAGGAATTATAACTGGAGTACAGATAATTTTCGACTCAACTTCATAATTTTAAAATACAAGCAAATAAATAGATCAGGTATTTCCAGAATGCTATGTTGTTAATTTTATTTTTATGAAAAATGCACTGAAGGACCATGAGTACTTTTTCTTTCTTTCTTTCTTTCTTTCTTTCTTTCTTTCTTTCTTTCTTTCTTTCTTTCTTTCTTTCTTTCTTTCATTAAGTTTTTATTGTTAATTAAGCAATAGTTTCCATAGGAGAACATCATTTTTTTTCCTTCAATAATCGATTGTATTGTGATTAAGAGCTTCACATTTAATTAATTGTAATGCCATAAGGTAAGCACTATACTTCAAAGTTGGTTAGTACCACATGTTGGCAGTTCAAACTCACCAGCTACTCCTCAGAAACCCTATACAGAGTTGCTATGAGTCAGAATCAACTTGATGGCACTTAATGACATTAAAAACAAACATAAACATAAAGAAGTTGCTGTGGAGTTTAGTCCCATGTGTGTCAGAGTAGAATTGTGCCCTATAGGGGTTTTTTGTGTTTTTTTTTTTTTAATTTAACACCACCACCAAATACGTGTACATTTGTCCTTGTTTACATGAGGCAAAGTTTCTTTAATATATATTTAGCAGTAGAATAGGTGTTTAAAGGAAACACTTTTTTTTTAATTACGCTATTTTAACATTTTTACAAGTGCAATAAAGTGGCATGGATTGTTTTCATCAGATTGAATAACCATCACCCTTGACCTTTCCCACATTTTCTGACCGTCCTTTACAGAAGCGATGACTTTCATAACCACTAATAGTCTTCAGTCTCCATATATTTGCCTACTATACAAATACTTTTCCAAGTTTTTATTGTATGCTGAGGGATAGTTTACATGTGAGAACATCAGCTTTACACCATCAATTCATTGCAATGATTACAATCTCCTCCGTGCATCCTCATTCAACAGCATTTGCTTCCTTTCATTTTTTGTTTGTTTTGGGGGGATGTACACAAAAACACTTAGGAATATATCATAAACAACCAAAGGGCACATTCTGCAAGCCTGCCTTCTGGCCACCAAAAGGCCACCATTACCAAGCCACTGAAGCTAGGTCAAACAGATACTATTTGTAAGTCTGGGTGTTCTTGTGCATCTCCCTTCACAGCTGGATTCTTCCATCTCAGTTCTAGCCAAGAATATTTTTCAAGATGCAATTGAAGGGGTGATTTAACCAGAAATTTGATATATATTGCCCCTGATTTTTTATCAATCCATAATTAAATTTTAGAGTTATATTCTCCTTAACTTTAAAAACTATTTTAGTTTTCAGAGGTTCTTCTTTTGTTATGTTAAGAGATTATAACTACACTAAGGAGTTCTGGTAGCATAGTGCTTGAGTCGAGATGCTAATTTCAAGGTCAGAAATTCAAAATTACCAACCGTTCTGAGGAAGAAAGATGACACTATCTGTTCCCATAAAGAATTACAGCCTCAGAAACCCTATACAGGGTCACTTTGAGTCAGAACCGACTCCACAGCACACAGCCATCAACCACCAGAGTTACACTAGTGTATTATATTATCTAAAGGTTACCTACTTCAAACTTGAGGTTTTACTCTGGTTGAGATGGGAAGTTATTTGAATTGTTTGAGTAGAGAAATGAAGTAATTTAATTTTTTTAACTGCTTTTCCTATGTTCAAGATAAAGAGGAGTCCATATTGGAAACATGGAGGGTAATAAAGAACCTATGGAAATATTCCAGGAGAAAGATGACAGTAATTTCTACAAAATCGTTAGCAGTCAGAATGGTGAAATGTGGAAGAGAAGAGAAGTAGCTGAGAACAGAAACTTAGGACTTCAGTTAAGGATAGAATATATTCAAAGCCAAGGCACAGGATGAGATCACCAAGGAATACGCACAAGAGCACCCCCACAATTAGAAGGCAGGAAGATAAATTGAGGTGTAAGGAAGAACTATCAAAGGAAACTGGGAAGGAAATGTCAGAGAGAGAGAGAGAGAGAGATGGAAAACCAGAAAAGTGTATTAAATATCAAGTGAAGAAGCACTTTCAAGGAGAATAAAGTAATCAACTGAAAATGCTGCCAATAGGCCAATTAAAATGAATATTGAGAATTGGCATTTAGATTTATTGATGTAAATGTCATTGGTCATCTTGAAGGAGCAGTTTCAGTGGAGTGCAGCCCAAATAGAATGGAATGAAAAGAGAATTTGTAGACAATGAACACATTTTACTTTAAAGTGAATGACAGATACAGAACTGTAGTTGATGGGGAGCTAGATTCATAATGTTGTTATTATTGCTAGCATAGTTAAAATGGGAAGAGTAAAATAATATGTTTTTTGCTGATGGTAAATATACATAGAGTGAAAAAATATGATGTAGGAGGAGGATTATTGGGGCAATGTTTAAATTTTATGTTCTGTTTCAAGGGATTCATGGAGTTCCCAATTCATCCAAGGACAACTATGCTATGAAACACTTGTAAGAGAAGTCTATCTTCATGATTCAGTTAGACTGCATCTGTACTCTTTGTACCCTACTTTACTGCATTCCAGATACTTCACTCTGAGCAAGCAATGGTAGTCTGAATAGTCAGATTAAACCTGGAGAACAGAGATGAAACAGAATATTATCATCACTCCAGAGTCATTTAAAGAACTATATACAAAGAACTGGATTGTACTAGCACAATTAAAGGCTTTTTTTTTTCAGCACAGGAATATTTTATTTTTAATGGAAGAACACTGCAAATGGGACTTTTATGCTCAGAATGGATTGAGACTATTCCCGCATTCTTTTTCTTTCTGAGTGTTAACTGAGGACCTTAACAATGAAATTAAGTAAAATAGACATCATTTTAATTAGCCTTATGCTTGAATGCAATATATATATATATATGTGTGTGTGTGTGTGTGTGTGTGTGTGTGTATACACACACACACACACACACACTGAAGACATGTATATTGCTTGGCTCTAAAACAGTCACAAATCCATTCCCATAAAGTCAGTTTTGCTGGATTCAGATCAGCTTCTGGTTTTCAGCCAGGTGGAAAAGTTCTTTAAAATCCATCTCTATTTTTATCTCTGCCTCTAACTATATGGATCATTTTGACCCATGCATTTCAGAGCAGTACGGCTCCATAGGATTTTCATGGTTGCAACTTTCATAAAAGCAGATCAGCAGGTCTTTCTTCCATGGTCCTGCCCAGTGGATGCAAACCACCAACCTTTAACTTAATACTCCAGCACAAAGTCATTGTGCTATCCAGGAATAGCTGTTTATTCATCCAGGATTATCTGTCTGTACATCCATCTGTATGTCTATCCTTCTGCTCACAGCATGTATGTCTGTCTGTCTGTCCATCCATCTAGTCACCTACCTAACAATGGTAATCTAGTAGTCCTCAAGTAGATTACTACTTCTGATATCCCATTCAATCAAACTATAATGAAAATAACACTACACAAAGCAACTAATATTTTATTGATTTTTTATTAAAGGATTCTTAAATAATGTAACCTTCTCACTTTCCATGTTTCCATAGTTTCTATAATTAAGGAGCTCTTGTAGCGTAGTGGTTATGAATAGGGCTGTGAACTGCAAGGACAACAGTTCAAAACTACCAGCTGTTCCATGGGAGAAAGATGAGGCGTTCTGCTCCCATAAAGATTTACAGCCTTAGACATCCTGTACAGGGTCTCTATGAGTCGGAACTGACTCCATGG